GCTTTTGTGGTTCCCGAGTTGAAAGTTGCGGACAAGTTGCTGCGGACACACACACACACACACAGATAATCCCGTGACAGCATGCTTTTTGTACTGCTGTTACACAGCAAAAAAAACACAAAAATTGCGCGAAAGCGCATAAAAACAAGTACCCAGATAGATTTATCACAAAAAACACACAGCGACACATTGTTGTCGAGACGTTATGTTGCAGTGATGACCGATAACAGATGAAGTGGATAACTGGTGTTACTCACAAAGTCTAAAAAAAACAGTAGGAGGGGTAGCTTTGCATTAAGCCGATCCAGTAACCCAGCTATATGGTGTGAAGTGCGATGAGCACAAAATTGCAGGGGTGGAGGTCCATTTGTGAAGAAATAACAGCTCTTTCAGGTGCCTGTGTTTGAAAGAGGTAAAAAAAGCATACGAGTATGTCGGATTACGCGAGGCTTTTCTCTTTTTAGTTTTGTTTGCGAATTTAAAAAATCTTTGATGATTTTCCCGCTCTCTTAGAAAGTGCGGTTGCAGAGTGCAACGGAACCGTATCCTCAAGTGCAACTAACATTCACCGAAGAGCAGAAGCGACAAATACTGCATGCTGTGATGCCAATGAATTTCTGTTATGATTCGAAAATTTGGCAATTGATCGGAAAGGTTTTGAATTTCAACATGTGCTTCGAAAGCGTCGTGAAAGCAATCAAAGAAGGAGCGCGCGAGGGGCGAGCAAGGTACCATGCATTTGTTTTATGTGTTCTTATTTCAACAAATACAAAAAGGCGTTGTTGATTTAACTCCGTTACTGTTAGTGTTTTTAGTAATTTTTGCAGCCCTCTTAACTTAGTTGATTGGTGGGGTGACCTTCATTGGCAGTTTTGGTGCCTTCTACTTCTGACACACCGTTCTTTCCTCAATTACTGCTGCTGCTTTTATGCAAATTCTTAATGCTTGTGTTCCGATTGAATTTTATTTGCTTTTTTTGTGCGTTTTTGCTGTGCAGCGCTATAGCGCTGCTACAGCCAGCAAAAACGCATATTGTCG